TGTTATGAAGTTGATAGCAGTCTTAAAAATATCTGCGAGTTGTCGTTGTTTATATCAAAAAGTCTGTGAAAAAGTCTATTTTTCATATTTGGTAAGATCATCAAAAAGTAATTCTTTCAATTCTTTACATTATATTAATTAATTTATAATTATATTAATATATAATTATATATAATTATAAACTAATATATAATTATAATAAATATTTTAATATATAATTATATTTACATTACATTATATATTAAAAACAGATGTATGCTAAACTTTTATTGCATTTAAAGCACATGCAAGTTTAAATTGGAGGAAGCATTAATGTTGCTCAAAATTTTGCAATTTTTTTTTTCTATTTTTGTGTGTTTTTTCCTTAAAATTACATAAAAAAAAATTTTACACACTTATAAATTTTTATTTATATTGTCATTTTTAGGGGTAATTTTAATATTATGGCTATTATAATTATACTATAAATAGTAATTATAACTTAATTGTATTTAATTTGTAATTTATTTCTATAATTATTCATTTTTATCTATAATTGTAAATACCATAATAATGCATTTTAAAGAAGTTTTTTTGAAAGACTTCTCTCTGTATGTATATTGCTTTTTCTTCATCAGAAATAAAACTTTTATGAAATCTAATATTGTTTATAATGTGGAGTTCAAATTTAAAAAAAAAAAATTATGACCAGTTAATTTAGTGTTAAATCATGTACTTCTTAAAATGGTTAAGAAATGTTTTTAAGATGTTTCCAATTATATATATGCATCATGATTACATGGATTTGCTTGTTACAACTGATGGTTAATATAGTGTTATGTTTTTTAATTTTGGTGATATGTTTTATTATTGTAGTGACTTTGAAGTACATACTTCATTTGCTTTTGTATATAAAGATTGTTATTGGAATTCATCTCGCATGTTTAAACTTGTATATGTGTATGACAAATGAAATAAAAAAATGGTAGTATTTTCTGGGTCTTGTATATAATTCTCATTAAAATTTATTTGAAAAAATTACAAACAAATACAGTGATTCTTCTGTATACGAGTGCATTGGGATACAAACTGACATTGGAGCGAATTCTTGGGTATGAGTTCTGATATGAGTCACGTGAGCAGTTTTCTTATTCACCACTGGTTTGCACACCATGTGAAATGTAAGCAAGTGAGAGACGTGTAAAGCTATTACAAACCATATATAGTTTGTTATTTAAGAACTTTTGAATTTTTATAAAAGTGTAATTTCTATTTCCTGCCTACTATTTAACATGCACTGCGTTGTGCAAAGTATTTGTATATCCATAACTCGTGTTTGTTGTTTAATTAACTAAATAAAGAACACTAATGCTGCATTGAAATTGTAGAGAAAAATGTTACATAAATCAGTAAAGAATATTGAAGATATCATGCAGGTAAGTAGAGTACAATAATTTAATTTTATAAAACCACATTTCTTTGCATTCTGTTTCATACGTTTTTATAATATTTTAAAAGGTTCTTATTTTCTATTTCATACAGTGCATTTTTTCTTATTTAAAAACAGGATTAAAAAAAATGAGGTGGTTATTTAGGGGGCTGGAATGGATTAATGGTATTGAAATGCATTTCCATATGGAACATCATTTCTGGAAATGAGTAAATCAATATACAAGCTTGATTGCAGAATGAGTTAAACTCATATGCTGAGGTACCACTGTAGCTCAAATGTACAGAAATGGGCTATTAATTCTAACATCAGTATATATGCAATTTTAGTTTTCACTGGAAATATAAGTTTAAATATATTTGAAAGTATTTTCATTTCATCAAATATAAGTTTAAGTATATTTTAAAGTTTTTCATTCCTCAGATTTTTTCCCTATCTTTTGTTTATTAAAAGCTGTGATGGAATATTTGTTACCGAAATGATGAAATTTATTACTAATACCTCCCCCCCCCCACGATCATTATTTATACGCACATAAAACACACTTAAGATTGCCGTTTCTAAATATGATACTTTTTCCTAATAGTTATTATATACATTTAAAAAATGTGTTGGCCATGATATATTTAAAAAAATTAAAATGCAAAATTTATGTCTTTTAAATTATATAAGAATAGGTAAATCTAATTTGCTTTTAAAATTATTTTATTATTTCCCATCTTGAATCTTTTTTTAATTAGAATATTTAAATCTTATATTATTCCAAAATTTAATATTAGATATGAATTGAATGTAATTAATTCAATAAGACAGTTTGACATATGTAGGAAAATTATAGTATTGTCTGATATCATTGATATCTTTTTAGCTACTGTTTTGTTTGGTCATATTATTACTATTAAATTCTTCTAAATTACTCTTTCTCATCATGTTGAATTGCTTATTGTGTGCAGAAATTTGAATATCTGATACTTTATCATATACCTCCTTATTAGTATAATGATATGTTTTTAATTTTTTATGATACGTTTTATCATAGGGACTTTTAAGTACTTCTTAAGTTAAATAAAATATATTTTTTTTATTGAATTCGTCCATGTAAATGTTCATTTCACATAGAACTTTTATGTGGAATTCTTCAAGTATATTTTTCATCTATGTTAATATAAATGTCTTATTGAATTAATTACATTTAATTCATATTTTCGGTTAAATTTTCAAATATATTTTAAAAGTGTCTGATACAGTACAGTCCCTATATATATATAGATTTAAAAAGAAATGGAGCTGTTTTTCACTGCAGTTTTAATAATATCTGTTTTAGAAGTTGCTGAAGTGAAATTTATTGAAGAGAATTGTCTCAGAATATTTTTTGTTCAGAAGTCTTTATGATATAACTTTTCAATTCAACTTTTGTCCATAACATCAAAAATTCTTGAAAAATATGTTATGTTAGTTACCATATGAGAAAAAGAATGTTTACATTAATTTAGTTTCATAATTTATTGAGAAAAAGAAATTGTCAGTATATTGTTTTACTTGTGATATTGACAACTTCTCTTTTCTTGAAATTAATAAGGCTATGAAAGAACTTTTTCTGAAAATTGTTTCAATTAAACAACGTGTTTTTAATTGTTAAACTATTTCAGTTTTCTGTTAAGACAACAGCTGTCCTTTTCACTTCTGATTGGTGCTTATCTTCTGAATGAGACTATATTTAGTAGTTACTGAAATAACTGGTGCTACCAAATGTTTTTACAATGTTTGGCCCCCCTGTTTTATCTAGCAGGAACCAAATGCATATTACAAGCTTATAGTAATAATTCTACTGTGCTTTATGTCAGGCTTGCAAAATTAACCATGTTGTGCTTTATTTAAATATATTTTTCTTCCCACACTTGCCTTGTCCGATATTGAATGTCAATATCAGTATAAATATAAATGCATTTATAATGTGAACTTGTAGTGCACTATCATTTCACTATAAATTAAAGCATATTATTAATGAGCTGCAGATTCAAATTTAATAATTTGAAGCTGAGTGAAAGACAAGTGCAAGAGTAAATTCTATAGAAGTGTATATAGACAGAACAAAGTGTTGGAAAATCTCAGATGAATGCTATAATAAATAGCATTAGGATAAGAGAGTCTTTTATACTGCAATAGCATTAAGCATGTTCTAACGTCCATTGTTTTAATATTTTTCCTTTTATAGTTTGCTTCCTGGATAATATCTGAGATAGAAATACTTGTATTAATTTTTCTTTCAGTAATTACTATTAAAAACCATTTTCAACTTAAAATTGTTTTGTTATATTAAGAATAATGTATACTTTCAGTAATTTAAGTGAAATAATGTATTGAATTTTCATTTTATTGACCCAGTATAAAATGTTCTTTATCCTTTTAAAGTTGCTATTTCCGTTGTACGCGCATCTATTGTTAATGTTGTTTGCAGCAGTTGTGATGCAATGACCCAGATTTTGAATGGGATAGCTGAACAAAGTTTTTGTTTTATTTCTTGTGTATATGAATGTAGACTAGTTTCTCTTACAAAGCCTTCCATGGAGCTCTCCCTTCCTATAGGAAAGCTCTTGTATGTTTCATCTGAAATCAAATAATGTGGTCCAGCCCACTCTAATGCACTCAGCACTCATGATCATGTGAAACTCAATCACTGGTAATTAACAGATTTGATCTCTCCTGAGTATGATTCAAAGGATTTGAAAATTTGTATTACAATGTAGAGATTGTAGAATTTTTTCAGATCTGGAACCAGGAAAAATTGTTTATGCCTGTGCTGGGATTAATGCTTCATATCATCCAGTTGCTAGTTGAATGTGCTATCAGTTACATCACAAAAGCATACATTAGTGAAGATGAAAATTCCTTATAAATAAAATATACATCAGTGTGTGCTGTTGATCCCTAATAAACATTTTCATAATTCTATTAAATCTACTTAACTTTTTATGCATAGAAATCAAGCAATAGTAATTTCATAACCTCACATTTTAATAATCTTTAGTAAAAAAAAAAAAAAAAAAAAGAATTATTTTCAGAGTTAGAGATTATAAGCATTATAGGGTCAATTTTATGTAATGCTTATTAATTTTTTTTTCATTACTGTGTAATACTTTTAATTGATAATTTCCATGCATATCATGTTCTCTCTAAATCAGAAACTAAAAAATCCACCTATGCTGGCTGAAAAATAAACCTTGAGATTATTGTATTATCATGAATTAATTGTCATATCATGAAAAGTTATTTTAAGTTCTACGTAGGAATTATTTAATAGATCAGTGAATGTTAAACAGTTGTTTAAAAAAAAAAAAAAAGAGTTTAAGTGTTGGAAAATGATATAATAATCAGTATACTTCATTTGATTCATTTGGGTAGATGACTCTGATTTAACACATTTGAATTTGAAATGTGTTTATAAAACAGAAAAGTTTTTGTTTTGTTTTTAAATGTTGAATTTTTTTTCTTATATGCTTTAGCAGTTATTTTTTTTTTTTTTCTTATTTTCTGTGTTATGCATTTAATTACTTTTTCCTTTCTCTTACAGTTTTTCTTTCAACATCCAAAAGCAAATCGGCCAGCAGAACAGATTATGGGAAACATTCTGTGATTAGTTTTGCATCTAGCATTGGGAGTGCTAAGCCATTGTCTTCAGAAATGTGTCGATTTTTTTGTTCATTTTGTTCAAAAGGATTTCATTTTAAGGCAAATCTTGAGCGTCATCTTCGTGTGCATACTGGGGAAAAGCCTTTTAAATGTGAAACTTGTTCAAAGTGCTTCACACGCAAAGAATCTTTGAGATATCATATTCTTAATAAACATGAAAGAAATTGAATTAAATTTTTCTGCTTGTTAAGGATTTTTTTCACATTACAGTGAGCAGATTATTTTATGTTCTAAATATTTTTTAGATTTTCTTATTTCAGGTATTTCTTGATGTGTATGTAAGATAAAAAATATGTGAATCAAAATTATAATTTAAACTAATGGCAAAACATTAATTCTCCCTCTTTGTTCTAAAAATTACAATAACTTCTCTGGATTGCATCATTTCTAGATCATTCTATGGCCTGCACAGCTCTGATGACATAATAATAATTGGGAACTGAAACAACCATTGTACACCAAAACTTTTCTCTTTGCGTGCTTCCATCTTTCATAACGCACTTCATCTTCTGTCTGTGCTGTGCTAGGATACAATTTCACTATGCTGCTTCCTATTGCAATAATATCAGTAATGTAAATGCTCTTGAACAGGCATGATTAGAGTGCAATGTGATCTGTGGCCACGTAATGTTAATTGGAAATAAAAATGGAATTAAAATCGCCTCGACTGCCAAGTTTTATTAAGTCAACACATTAGCTTACGACGCAATCGGAATACTTCCTCCACAATGTAGGATAACTACGTATCAACAGTGTTTCGACTTTTCCTTTCCTTGTTTTTTTATTATGACACGTGTATTGCTGGCATTGTCTTATACCTATGTTCCAATTCTTTTTATGATCTTTATATATATATATATATATATAATTTTAATATTGTACATTCTAATAGAATAAAGTATTCTGAAAAACATTTATCGCTTACTTTGCTTTAACAGCTGTTAAAAAATCAGAATAAATTTTAAAAGGAACAAGTAAAATTAGTTGTCTTCTAATATTTTATATATATAATAAACTAAATTTAAATTGCACTTAAGTTTAATTCGGGAAGGAATATCCAATTTGAGATTTTATAGTTAAAATTTACAAAATAGAATGATAAAGTATCATATGAACATAAAAAAGTCTTTATTTAATTCTACAAAATGGGGGTACCTAACTATCATTCATTTTGAAGATAAATTAAAATGCTGACTAAATCATCTGGAACTTTCTTTGTGATATCAGTTGGAGGCACTGGAATAGATATGTTGGCTTTCTAATTCTCCACATATTGCCTTCTGCAACTTCATCCTTTGGGGATATGTGAAAGAACAAATGTTTGTACTGCCTAAGCTCACAAGCCAAAATAAAATTTTAAAAGACATTTTAGTTCTTTATGCAAATGTAATTGTAATAGAGCTCTACTGCTGCATTATAGTTACCAATTAACAATCTGCAATGTGAATGTGCTTAACCAGTGTTTTCACATTAGCTTGATATCATACATGTAATTAAATAAAATTAGTTGAACATTTTGTCAATAAACTTATCATTCTTAATTGTTAATTTTTAAAATATGAAATTGTCTGGCACTTTCTGACTTACTCTGTACTTTTCTTAGAGTTGAGAGAAAGACAAATAAAGGTTAAGTTTATTAATCGAATTACTGTTCATATATTTTTCATTGCGGTATTGCTTGAGCTTATTCAAAAGAGTACAGTATGTGTCAGTTATTAAAATCACTTCCATGCCATACATATTTGAGTTTATTAAGTGGCTGAGTTTAATAAACAGCAATTTCAGTATCTCTAATTATGGTGTCAACTTTGAACTTATTTAGTAAGATAGTAATTTACAATTTAATAATTAATGTGTATATTAGTCATTAAAAATTAGTGCTAAAATTAAACTCTGAAAAATTTGAAAATTAATTTTTTTTATGAAAAAAAATTTTATACTTATGTACCTTTTGAAATTTTATATATTTACAAAGAACTGCTCTATCCATATTTGTTTTACTATATTGTTCATCAGTAGTCTTTGAATTATATTTTAAAGTTTGTAAGACTATTTGTAGCACTTTGATCTCCACCTTTCAATCTCAAGAGTTGCTCTTAGAGTTAGCAGTGCTTTTTCTCAATTCAGCTGAGGTTGGCAGGTAGTCACTTTCTTGTGTAGCACTTTAATTATGAGTTTCAATTTCTGCAGTTCTTTGAATACCTTCTATAATATCAGTCAGTGTTTTCACATGCTGTCCCAATATTGTCGTCAATTGCAATGTATTCTAAAAACAGCTTCGTGATTTCCTTCACTGATGTCCGAAATATTAGAAATAGATTGGACTTCCTCTGTGCCTTTTTCTAAATAAGAACTACATTTTCTAAAGCAGTTTATTTGTTTTAGGAAACTGCTTCCATTGTGTTGACTATAACATATTGAGAAATATATAGGCAAAGATATTGACTTAGTTACCTCCATCAAAGTACTTGCATTTTTCACTAGATAAGTCAATCTTTATTTTATTTATTTATTTTTTTTTTTGAGCGCCATCTTTTCTGTAATTACATTTGAAAGATTTTATAATACCTCGGTCTAATGTTTGAATGATAAAATTTGTATTTTCAGGAAGAAACACTAAATTAAAGTTTTTCAGAAAGATAACAGAGGAGTGTGCAGCATAGTTATCTAACAGTAAAGCTGTTTTTTCGTTTTTCAGTTTTCTGTCCCATTTCAAAAGGAAATCATTAAAAATACTGCTTGTCACCAATGAGTGCTTGTTATTACCAGAAGTTAAAGGTAAATTCTTGATTTCTTTCAAATACTGAGGTTTTCTACTTTTCTAGTAACGAATGGAATCTTCTTAATTATCACATCCATATTGCATATTAATAATACAGCTACTCAGTTTTTTAATTTCTTAAAAACAGCTGCTGTTTCAATTTTAAGCATTAATATGTGCTCTGGCAATGCTCTATAAAAGTGACCAGTTTCATCTGTGCTATAAATTTAATGTAGCTTGCATTGTTTTAGAAGTACATGTAAAATGTCTTATCCAGTTCTTAGTTGAAGATGATCTGCCTCTTGTTTCTTGCCATGTAGTTTCTAGTAAAGAATGTTATGTCTATCTTTCCACCTTGTGAGCACTTCATCAGTTGGCACAAAATTTTTTCCTGCTATTTTAGCAAATTCTACAGTTTTTGTACTCAAAAGAGCTGTACAAATTGGAACATTTTTTTACTCTCATAGCTTGAAACCATTCTAGAAGAACAGTTTCAATGTCTCTCAGTTTTCCATCCCTTTAGCACTTCCTTGAAACATTTGCATTTTTTACTAGTTCTGTATCAGTTTTATTTCTTTGTTTAAGTAAATTGCTCAGTGTTTTTTGGAGAATTAAATTTTAAATGTTGCTTCTCTTTCAGTGGCGTAGCTAGGATTCCAGCGCCCAGGGACAACTGAAGAATTTGCACCCCTTTCTGTGTGCCAAGAATGGAAAACATTTCATCAAAAAATTTCATAGCATAAATTTGGTGCCACCTGGATGCTGCGCCCGGGGACAGATGTCCCCCTTGCCCCACACTAACCACGCCACTGTTCTCTTTGATTGCATTTACCGAATGTATCATAATCTCTCAGCAATTTATTCTTTTCTTTTAGGCTTAAGTCATTTTGTTTAGGCATTTTCAAGATGTTGCAAGTCATGCATATAACAAAAAATTTTCCTTCAAGTGATTATGCAAATCCCTAAATCCCCCCTTCTAGCCATTAGTAAGATAGCACATTGTCTGTCAAATCGGCCTGTTACTTTATAGTTACTATAGGCATAATCAGTGCTTTCCCTTTTTTTCCCCCTTCATCCTACAACGACTAATCCCCTTTTCCAGTCAAAGACTCATAGTGTACAATAAAGCAACATTTCATGATGTTTTCTGAGAACACCCTGCAAACTTAATGTGTGTATATACTTCTATCCCCTATCAGCTATTGTTTAAGAAAGGCTAAAAAAAAATCTTTAATCTTGGGAAGCACTCAGTTAATTGCAATCCAAAAACCTGTTTCCAATGCCTTTAGAGGACTGCTTTTGTTAATCATAAGCTAAAGGTATTCTGTTGCTTTCACTTCAAGTCCAGACAAACAAATGAGATTTACAAATAATGTCCTGGCAAGGACTGGAGCAGGGTATTCAACACCTCCAGGGGGCTTGGTTTTTAACTACACTGGCCAAAATTTCTGCTGAACCCCGTTTCTTAAAGCACTACATAACTGAAAGGATAAATTAATAAATTACAAATAGCTTTTTTCTGCTACCAACAGTTCTGGATTTGAAGAATCTTTTTTCAAATTTATTTTTATAAGTGGTGGAAATGAGTTTAATAACTGGTGATTTTTTTTTATTGATTAATATATAATTGTCTTATTTTTATTATTTCTGGAAATTTGAATGTGATAAACGGCTGAGTTTATTAACCAGTCAGTTTAATAGGTGACGGGTACTAACTATACTTTTAATTTGCTTGCATACAGATTAATATGAATAATGCACTGCCAATCATGTATAAGCAACATTTTCAACAACAGTTGATATACTGGAAAATACTGCTTCTTTTATTTAATAACTTGAAAATTAACATTTGAATTATGTATTAAGTAATTATAATTATATCAAGCATTAACCTTGTTCCAAAAGATTGTATAATTGAAGGAATGCTGACTTTTGAAGAGCCACACATCAATTTGTTAAAGTATACTAATTGTATCATATCTGAAAGCATATACTGTGAATGTGACTTGTGGGTAGACATGTTTTGAATTACTCGTAAAATATGTGTAACAGAAGATGCTTTTATGTTTCACTTGAAATTAAAAAAGAAAGAAAGAAGGTATACAAAAACTCTCTATGGGAGTGATGTAACAAGTAATTGTAATTTTATGGCTAGCAATATTTATACAAAATGTTTGAAAGAATGCTGTAGGCGTAGTTACTTTAACTGTTGATTCAAGACTTACATATTCAGATACTGAATTTCTTACATTAAAGTAGAAAATTTTCTAATAACCGTTTCAAGGTTGAAGAAGGGAAATTTCTATAAAACTAAATTTATTAGACTCTCACTTGAGATTTTGTTCAAGTATCTTACTCGGAAGAATTATGAGGTAAAATTTTAAAAATCTCATGTCCTGATTCATGAGTATTCATGTTGTTTAAATTGCAGGTTTCTAAAATTTCATAGCAGGCATGGAAATTTAGGAGAGGGAGAAAAAGAAACTCCTCTCTAAAAAATTGTTTTTCAAAATTTTAAAAGTTTTTCACTCATTATACTGTGGAACTGACAGCTTTCTCTATATGAGAATAATTTGATCATTCATAATAATATATAAAAGCTGAGTAATTTGTAAATGAAGTCAAATTATGGCATATTCAGTATTTCTGATACTATGAAACTGACTGTGATTCATGAAGTAACATAAAATGTACTATATTGTTTAGTGTAGAGCTGTAAATTTCACAGACTTAATAGTTTTGAAATTATATGTATCTTTTCTCTAAATGTATTTAGTAACTCTGCTAGGCACTCAATGCATACTGATCTAATCATAAAATGGAAAAATTACTGCAATGTTCCTTTCTCAAAGAAGGAAAAACATTTGATATTAGACAGTACCTTATTTGGTTTGAATATCATGAATACTAGTGTTCATGTTCAGTTCAAAATTGACTTTTTTTCTTTTGTGTGTGTATGGAGGATAAAAATGCCAGAATAATAATTTTTCAAATTATATATTTATCAATATTCTCCTCATTTCCAAAAAGAAATTTCAGGAAATAAATTAATCATTAATTCCAGAATTCCCAGATCTTGGGAAAACAAAAAGGAAGGAAAACTCATTCACTGGTCCTTTTCAATCTAAAGTTTCAACTAATA